ACAACTATATATAGGACATAGTATAAGGGGGAGGAGAGGATTCTGTGCACCTACTGGCTAACACAATTTGTCACTTGGACAAAATAATCTCAATTTCTCTTGTATTAGGATTTAAGTAACAGTTCCTATCTGTAACACACATAACTTATTAAACCGTATAATTTACAAGCACGCAACAGAAATTAAACAAATAAAAAAAAAAAAAGAAACTCTAAGGTGTGTGCTTTGATACTCTAAGAAGTGAAAACATAAACAAGGCGATTGATAACATGAAATATAAATTATAAATAACAGCTCATTATTAAGAGGATGAAATGTTCATACATTCCCTGACTTGCAGCATACACAACTCAGATATTTAATTTCTGAGATATTTTAATCCATATCTTCCATTATAATCGTTATCATTTGGTTTTCAACAACTTTTTTTTTCACGTCGTCACGTTAAGATATAATAAGATATTTTGAATAAGAGCTCATTACAGAGAGGATCAAATGGCTAACATACGCAGGTCAGATTTTTAGTTATTAAGATAATTTAATCCATATTCAAAAACACTTCAATTAGTCTACTCCAGCCGACTTTACACTACCGTCACACATCGGAGATCTAACGTCTCAACCTAATTAACTCTCCACAAAAAAGTGCAAATCGGGCCTAAAGAAGATTTCACTTAAAAAAAAAATTGTATACACATAATAACGCTAATGTTAATAAAAAATGTAGTAAAAATTAAGTGTTTTAGAGGAGAGCATTTAAAGCTGATTATTTATGATGATTTATTATTATTATTTCATATTTTATTTTCCCCTAATATTTTCCATAGCAGCAGACTATTTATGGCAGTTCCAGACTACAAAATGTCACCTTCAGCACAAATAAAATAAACATATAAAATTTTTACATACGATCTTTGCACGAACAGAAGTGTTAATTAATAATGAAAAGATAAAGTGGAACGATGAAATTATAATATAAGGATTTGAAAGTAAAGCAAATCGTAAATGGATATTACAAAATTAATTCTGCGATTTGAAAGTAATGATGACGTATACATCCAGAGAAGTTAAAATATTTTTAGATTTTAGGAAGATAAGATTAATTATTAAATAGGTGCACATTTGCTATAGTAAAATATAATCCTTATCAAACCAATCCGCAGACTGGCAGACTTGATTATGGTGAGAGATAATAAATCTTAATTATTTTATTTTCACTTAAATTTATTAATTTCTATATTATATATTTCTCCTGCGCACACAGCAAAATTAAACATATTACTCAATTCCCTCAAATATGAAAAATTAACCATACAATGAAGAATGATAAAAAAAAAAAATACAAAAAAATAATTCGTAATTAACATTGAAGTTACCGTTATCTTACGAAATTACCGTGCACCACATAGAATAGACAAAATAATATATTATGTCTGCACACAAAATTATGGCGTTTATATTAATTAAAAACAATAAAATCATTAGGATTAAAAAGGCGATAAGATTAAATTGTCGAGAGAGTTAATATCTGAAGATTATATTGATATTCCTATATTGAGATTCCTAGATTATATTGAGAACAGTTATAAATTATATTGATATTAATTATTATACTAAAAATATTAATAATTATTGCAGTCGTGAAATTTTAATAAGTTAGGAAATTATTAAGGTTAGGGAGATATAACGATTTGATGAAAAAAGTAAACATTTTTATTTAAACTTGCTTCAGAACAGTTATATATATTGTTTTAGCTATATTACAAACAGTAGGGACGTTTATCGTAAATAATTATATTTTTTATCAATATTATTAATGATATGACACGATAAATAATACAAATTTAATTAATTATGTTTAAAGGAACGAGATGGTCCGGGGTGGCGGTCATAAATAGGCTAAATAGTGATAAAACTATTTTATTAAAAGCCGAAGTTTCGACCCGACTTTGCAGGTCTTCTTCAGAGAGGACCTGGTGACTTCAGAGAGGTGTTCAGCTAGGAGTTTCAATTAGAACCTGAATTGAAAAACATTATTCATCGTCAATAAATGACACATCTCCTTATCAACTTCTTCAATTAAAACTGAATTAAATAAATAGAAATAACTTAAGAGTCATTTCTACGAGACGTTTTTACAGCTTTATTTGATTTCTTTTTCTATGCAAATTGTTTACTGTGTGTGTACAAATATTGGTCTGATCAAGGATTTATTATAATTATTTGTACACATATTTGTTTAATAATTTTAATAGGTTTTGAATACAATGTAACCATAATTGAAGCTTCTGGAATGGTTAAGATGTTTAGAATTCGAAAATAAATAATAAAATAATAACAAAAAAAAATAAAAGATATAAAGGGAAATTTTGTTAACAGACCTCGAGAGCTATAAAAAACTACATATAAAAAATGGGGCAATTTTTAGGAGAAAAGTAGCAAATTTAAGTTTTGTCCTTTTTTAAGCATGACATGTTTTTTTTCATAATAGGAATCAAGAAATATTTAGTTTAAGCAATGAACAATTACTTCACTGTAAACTAGACAAAATTTACGTTAATAGAAATGAAAGTTTGTCAATATTAAAATTATTTAAAGAAGAAATTTGAGCAGCTTAATTAAGCTAAGTTAGACTTTAAAAAAAAAATCATAAATTATTTGCGATTTAGAAAACGACCACTTTTAGAAAAACTACCACGTTTAACAAGGTTAAGTTTATATTAATTAAATTGTGGTTTATTAGGCAAAAACATGAGATTTACCTCAAGTTGTGTAGAGAAATGTTTTCAACATAAGTGACTACAATCAAGTGTTGCAAACCTTTTATTTATTCTTTTTCCATGATCTGGGATGTATTCTAATAAACATTAATGCCTGCATATATATTTTATTTATGAAAAGAACAAAATTTAAAATAGCGATTTTTTTTCCCCAGATCTCAGCCATAGGAGTTGAAGAAGCCTTTGTCGTTGTTATAGATAAATTTCCTGATATAAGCGAAAAAAGTGAAGTTCTACTAGGTGCCTCCCCCTCCCCCCACATCTGGCTAATCACCAAGGAGTGGGGACTTTTAAGTATGCTTACCTTCTTACTAGTCCAAATATTGCCCCAAAGTCAAAAATTGTATTTCCGCCATTTCTTTTTATATCCATTCATTGACTGGACTATCTTGTTCGGGATGGACGATATGCAGTAAGAAACAGAGCCATTTCTATTTTTATTCTCGTCAGTCAAATTTAACTATTTTTCTTTCTTTTTCGGATTACAAGGGGTTCGGATTAGCGAAACCGACCTGTATTACTAAACAGCGACATCGACAAAACCAACAACATTCATAATTGTGGGTTGATGGTTGACTATAGAGAATAATAAAGAAAAGGATGGTTAGGGAGTGATCAGTCAAAATAAAAATTGCAAAAATAAATAATAATATTTATTTCAACGTTTGCCGACGTTTCGACCCAAAGTTGAGGCCTTCATTAGAGCTAAGAAAAGAACCAGATAACAATAGGTAAGAGAAACATAAACAATGTAAGTAAAAAAAACTTAAAGTTAAATGAAGTAGATAAGTGAACATTAAAGTAAAATAAAGTAGGTAGAATAATGAGAATAACAAGAACCAAGAAATAAATAATAACAACGGTTACAAAGTGTGGACTAATGAAGTAAAAATAAGTTAACATAAGAACTAAAATAGTAATCTTAGAATAATTTTTGGTACTTATTTAATAGCAGGTAGCGTCAAAACCTCCCTTTTTATCTAATTTCATTTCAAATAACCTCCCTTATCTCATCTAACCTAAGTTATTCCCTTGTTTATTTTTTGTTTCTTGTGCCAGTTTATTTAGTTATGGATGTTGTCACATTGTGGGAATTCCCGTCTTCAGAAGAAGAGGCTATCAAATATTTTCAAGACGCCGGTATAATTGATAAGGTGAAATATTGTGATGAGGGTCATAAAATGAAGTTCGACGGGAACATTAAATGGAGATACTTTCGTAGTTGTAACAAAACCGTTTCTATAAGGAAAGGAACGTGGTTAGAGGGGTCGAGGATTTCGTTTTTAACGGCTTTAAAATTCATTTATGGGTGGTCCCATAATTTAACAACAATACAGTGGGGGAAAGAGCAGCTCAAACTATCCAACGCAACTATCGTAACATGAAACAAATATTTAAGAGAAGTTTGTACCCATGACGGATCCCTTCCTTGCTATTTTAAATACCATAAAACTATTTTCCCTACTAAATAAACCAAGTTAAAATAAAAATTTTCATATTTTGTTTATATCGTTTCTTCATAGTGTTTCTTTTATATGTACACATACTGTTTAAGTGTTTTTTATTATTTCATCTGTTTTTTGCCTATTTTTATTATTACATTTATTTTGATATATATGTTCCAATGTTTTCGTAATGTTTTTTAATTTTATATTTATAATGTTTCGGTGTATTTTAATATATATGTTGTAAAATAAATGTATTTTTTTTATTATTACATTTGTTTTTGTTAACAATTTCAATAATATCATTACAATACAATAAATATGAATACGAAGATATAATAATATGAATATAATACAATAAATATGAATACGAAGAGCTTATCAGTTTTAAGGTTATAAACATTGGCAGATAACAGTCGGACGCTACCCGCTATTAAATAAGTACCTAATTTTTTAAAAATTATTCTATTTTACATTTTATTCTAAGATTACCATTTTAGTACTTATGTTACCTTATTTTGATTATGATTACTTCATTAGTCCACACTTTGTAACCGCTATTATTATTTATTTCTTAGTCTTGTTATTGTCATTATTCTACCTACTTTATTTTACTTACATTGTTTATGTTTCTCATACCTATTGTTATCTGGTTCTTTTCTTAGCCCTGATGACGGCCTGAACTTCGGCCATTTTTATTTTGACTGATCGTCCCAACCATCCTTTCCTTCTCTTCTTCATAACAACATTTATATCTAACTCAAAGGGAACTCACCCGTGCACCTAGGAATCTGGCCTCGAGAAGTTCCTGCTTTCTTGGATCCAGGGCCGCTTGGAAGTGATGTTCCATCTTCAGATCTGCAGCTGACAAAGACACAGTTATTAATACTAAATATATATATATATAAAATATATTATTATGCTAAAGGTAAAATATACACAGAACTACCTATCCCAAGTTGACAAAGACTTAGCATGCTCTAGAAGTGGTAGTTGCTTTGCTTTGCTAAGATGTGAATTGTGTATAAGTGAGGTGAGCTGTGATTTTGTGAACGACGGTGCAGTAGAAAAGGGCGAGGCCGCACGCGAGGTAATCGATGTTAACTCCAATCGACTTCTCACCCCTCCAGCTATTTATACCAAACCAACACAACCCTCGCTCTCTTCCACTCACTATATCATTTAACATTTCTTCCTTTCCGGGTCCGTAATATAATATAATGTGGAGGAATACTTTTAGATCTTATCATTCTCGACAACATCGATGTTAAAAAAAATAAGTGGAGATAAATTTAGAAAGGTTCCTGAAATCATCATCTCTCCAACTCTCGATAAAAAAAATGGTCAAACTCTGGGAGATGATTCAAAAAAAATTTTCAACAAAAAAAAAGTCATTTGATACATGGACTGATAAGGAATGGAAAAGATGTAAAGACTAATTTTGTGTATTTCTTAAGGTAGTCAAGCTTTTTATTGAATTCTAAGTACACCATCGTAAAGTAGGCAACATTTATTTTGAGAAAACATCGAATAAATTATAAGACATTTTTAATTTTTAAAAAATATGGCTTCAATACTTTAAGTAATAGACGTCGATATTTTGTTAGAGAGAAAACTGCAAACCAGAATTCTTCTGCACCAACCAAATAGGTATTGAGAGAGTACAACAATGGACCAGGGGAAGTTAAGGGATAGCAGTGCCTAATTGAGTAAATTGTTACAGTTAGTTTTAATTAACGTTATATTGCATAAACAAATAAACATATTTTGCTGATGTCACTTATACGTCATCTGCATTAGGGAGAAGGATATATTTCTAATGTTAGAGTTCTTGCTGGACTAAACTAGTATATAATACTTCATGTGAAAACAAAAAAATAATTATATATAACAAATAACTGGATAAAACTATATGACCAATAACTGAATAAAAAGATAAAAACAAATAATTGAATAAAATTATATAAAAATATAAAAATGATATAATAAATAACAACAAAACTATATAACAAATCACTGAATAAAAAGATAAAAACAAATAACTGAATAAAACGATACAACATATAACTGAATAAAACGACATAATAAATAACTTAACAAAAGTGTATAACAAATCACTGAATAAAACGATATAACAAATAACTAAACAAAACGATATAATAAATAAATGTGGATTGATGGTTAACTGTAGTGAATCATTAAAAAGAATATAGGTTGCAATATTAAGTCGAAAAAATGTAAAAATAAATAAATTATCTTTATTTTTATTTTTGCCGACGTTTCGGTACAAAGTTCAGGCTTCCAGTTATAATAAATAACTGAATATAAAGATAAAAACGATAAAATAAACAACTGAAAAAACGATATAATAAATAATCGAATAAAACGTTATAACAAATAACGCAATAATAACAATATAATAAATAACTCAATAAAATGATATAACAAATAACTAAGTAAAACGATGAGATAAATAATTTTGGGTTGATAGTTGACTGCAGTGAATAAATGGAAATAACATGGGTTGGAATCTTAAGTCAAAAAATGTAAAAATAAAAAAAATACATTTCTTTTCATTTTTGCTAAAGTTTCGGCATAAAGTTTAGGTCGGGATATAATTAATAACTGGATACAAGCAATAAAATAAATAACGGAATAAAACTATGTATAAACATAAAACGATATAATAAATTACTGAACAAAACGATATAGTAAATAATTGAAGAGAAGATAGGTGGGGGTGTAAGTAAAAAAAAAAATGTAAAAATAAATAAATTATATTTATATTTGCCGACGTTTCGGTATAAAGTATAGACCAGGATATAATAACTAACTGGACAAAATCAGGAAAATAAATAAATGACTAAACAAAACGAAGTAGTAAATAATTCAAGAGAAGATAGGTGGTGTTAAGTAAAAAAAATGTAAAAAATAAATAAATTATATTTATTTTTATTTTTGCCGACGTTTCGGTATTAAGTATAGGCTAGGATATAATAACTAACTGGACAAAATCAGGAAAATAAATAAATGACTGAACAAAACAAAATAGTAAATAATTGTGGATTGATGGTTGACTATGGTGAATAAATGAATATATTTAGTGAGTCATCAGGTATAAAAATGATAAAAATCTGCCATCGTTTATTTAACCATTGCGTTTCCACAATCTTATAATATAAATATTACCTTTTTCCCACATAAGATTATCATAGATTAACAAAATCTTCTAAACATCTGATGACGGCAAAAGACAAAAGTCTCAAATTCTCAAGAAGATATAGTTGGTACAATCAGGATGTATGTTACTTTATCATTAAAAAAAAATATCGAACATGCATTTTTAAAATAATAAACTTCAATAATAATGATTTAAAAGAAAAGGCTAAAGTAATTTAAGCACATTAACAAACATTCTAAAAAGTGTATTGAGGAAGACACAAATAAATATATAAATAAAAATAAAATTAATAATTTAATTAATAAAAAGAATGAAATGTTTTAAAATTTAAAAAAATAATTACTAATTGATGCATTAAATACTTAAATCATCCAATTTCGATGATTTTTTTTTTTTTTACGTTTTGCAGGGAATTTAGTAAGCTTTCAAATACTCATATGTATAATGAACTAAAAATTGCGTACTTTTCGAGTTATTCGCAAGTTATGAATTAATTTGTGACGTCTCAATTCGTTAAGACGTTCGAAATCTCCCACTTTTACATTCGCTTTTATTTAAGTCCTGAATCAAAATTACGATTCGCGCACTCTACGTGACATTCCCTTTCAACTGATACTTCATTCGTAATAATCCATCATTCCTGAGAGCCGGAAAAGGGATATATATTTGAGAAATAATAATAAAAAAAAAAAAGATATTTAGTAAAACTCGGCGTCCGTTGACCATACCATGGTTATCGACCATACCACTCAACCTAATTATTGAGTTTAGGTAATCGTTCGAAGCACAATTTAACGCACTTTAATTATTTAAAGAGTACATTTTTCGCTTCGATGCACCGTTTAGAAGTTACAATTGAAAAAAAAAACTTTTTTGGTTATCAGAATGACTAATTTTCGACCTTGAGGTGTTCTTGGTAGGCATTGCAGTCATCCCCAGTGATGTGGCTAAGAACGAATTCCAGACAGCCAGAATCACCAGGACCTACAATTATCGATCAGGAAACAGAAGCATAAGCAATATTTTCTTCAGGTTGTTATTAAGAAACCATACTGTATCTTATTATATATCTGATTAAGAGCTAATGAGATTAATAAGATAATATCTATTAGTACGATGATTAACATATATAAGAATTTTTTCTTTTTTTTTTTTTACGAAAATCATATGATTCTAATTTTTTATGGTATCCGGGAGTAAAGAAAATATAATAATTTTGGTTTTATTTTCATTACCATATAATAATAATTATGTAACATCTCAATTAGGTTCATCAAATAATACTTATTTTTGTACGATGGTTAACATCTACACGAAATAAAAAAAATATGTTTTTTTTCCTTTGAAAATCATTATATTATTAATTCTTTAATGCATCCAGGAGTAAAATAAATATAATAATGTTGGTTTTATTTTAATTCCATATTATAGTAAGTAAGTAATATCTCAATGAGGTCCATAAAATAATATTTATTAGTATAATGATTAACATTTTTGGGAAATGAAAATCCCGTTACTATTTTTTTATTTGTTATCCAGACGTTAATCATAATACTTTTGGTACAAAATAGTTTGGTAGTTGTATTCTCATTCATTATATTAATAATACAACAAGAAACTCATTGAACTATAAAATATTTTTTTTAAAATAATAAAATTTTGTTACCTATGTCATATTTTTTCCGATTAATTTAAATAATAAAAAAAAATCTCGTGTTGTTGGGCCCATGAGGTGAACTACCCCCTCCTCCAAACGCCAAGCCCATGTGTTTACAAAACATCATACAAATTATCTAGGAAACAAGAAACTGTTCCTACCTGGTTAAAGATAGCACATTGTTAAATTAAATTCTAACTTACTAGAACTTACTAAGACTTAAAGAATATTAAAACACGTTATATAAGTAATATTTACTATTCACAGTTTAACTACAAAGTTGAAAAAATAACATTTACTATGGCAATAGGGTCAAAAAACACTTTTGACTTTTGAAATCACTTAAATTTTAAAAAATGATTAAAAGGTAAAGGCGTTGTCAAGGAGCTTGCAGAGGAAGTTCAGGAGGCAATAAAATATAAAAATAGCAATTAAATCATTTACAATTTTTAACATTATTTAATCAGTAAAGTTATAATACGATAATAATAAACCTCAATTAAGAGTTCTAGGCAAGTAAAAAAGGAAGACATGGGGTGGCGAAGCAGATAGGGGGAACAAACAGGGGGAAAACTTCATTTTAAAAGGTGAAGGGAAAGAGACGATCAGAGCAAGTACAACCCCTTTATCGTGTTATAAACCTTTTTATTTTATAGATACCTACCTATCTCAATTTAAGATAAATATTTGAAGAAAAAAAAAGCATTACATAATAACATTTATGGGATATTTATTATCACATTACTTAAAAAAATTCTGATGAGCGCATCACACGACTTTCACCTACCACCCTCTACATGCAGAAATAAGTATTTTCAGAAAAAGGGGAAGTGAAAGTAAAAATTACAGACGCTATATTTATTTACATTCCATTGTGGGTATTTGTTTAATTATCCTTTTTTTGGGGGGGAGAGAGAGTGATAAATATTCAGGACGGTCTTTTTTAAAAAACAATTTTAATTTTTTATTCATGCCAACGCTTCAACATAAACATATGGGTCATCTCCAGGACTGAAAATTTAAAAA